GGATCTCTCAGAAAAATGTCTATGTCACATATGGTAGATGGGAGGATAAACAAAATAGTAGGTGTGATGGGTCTATGCAGCGTCCTTCACAACATAGCGTGAAACGAAGGTGAATTATTCCACAACTTGCAATCCAGTGGATCAAAATTCATACCATGAAATTTAAAACCACAAAGCCCAATATAGATCAAAGTCATGGTTCCCGTGCGTCTGGATTATATCGAAGGTGCTATCTGGCTCTGCTCTTACTTAGAAATGATCTCACAGAATGCTTTGTCTCATGTAAGAATGAAGACTTGTGATACTATCATGAATTTAAATTTTGACCTCGGGCTAGTAGTTGATCATGACCGAAGCAGCTGACAAGTATTCATGGAGAATTAATTACCTGTGAGACTCTAGGGTCAGTCTTAGGTGAGAACGGGAGCAGTGGGAGGCAAAGGTCTCTACCTAATTGGAGTCAGTGATTCTTAGGGGTTGAATGGTGGTCCCTCGAAATTCCGAACTAACCACCCCCCCAGTACTTTGGAATGTGACCTTATTGGGGAATAGGGGTACTGCAGATATAACTAGCCATGATGACATCACACTGGAGGTGAAGGGGCCCTTCGTCCAACACGACCACAGTCCTTATCCAAAGAGGAAATTGGGAGACAAAGGTCCAGGGAGAGCAGCTCCTTCCCTCACCGCCCCCAGAAGGAAGCAGCCCCTGACACCTGGATGTTGGGATTCTAGTCTCTAAGACTGTGGGACAACACATTTCTGTCATTCAGGCCACCCAGCTTGTGGTCCCTTGGTGTGGCAGCCAAAGCAAATCAAGACAGTGATAAATACTAAATTCTTGTCACACATAGGGGCTTCTCAGCATGGGTAGTACTGACGTGCCGCCAGAGAGCTCCGTGGCTGAGGGCCCAGCCTGGCGATGGTAGGCTGTGGCAGCATAGCTGGCTTCCACCCACTACATGCATCTCTCTCTCTCTCTCTCTCTCTCTCTCTCTCTCTCTCTCTCTCTCTCTCTTTCTCTCTCATTCAGTCACACACACACACCCCTTTCTCGGGAATCTGTGCCACACCCGCTATTATTTTCAAAGAAAAAACAAGTTACAGACATTCTGAAGAACACTCGTAAAGAAATACCTCAGCAGCCACTACAACTTTCTCAATTGCAAACACAGTACAAGATTTTCAAAAATATAGAGTCTAGAAATGAAACGGAAGAGTGAAATCCCATGGCCTCACCTCCAGATGAGAAGGGCTACAGAGGAAGCCGGAGTTTTCATTGGAACCTTCATCAAACAAGCACAAAATTACAACGGGATGATCCATGGAGACGGGTTTAGACAAATAAATGTCCTCAGCCAACCTTTAGAGTCAGACTAGCAAAACAATGGCACCTCGACTTCAGTTAGCATGAAGTGGGGGCCAGGCTGCAACTGAAGGGCAAGGAAAGGTCAATTTTTCTCAATTTGTATATTTTTATAAGTGTAACAAGAGAAACGAAACAAGAGTGCCAACACTGTATGTAGAAACAGAAGAAAAAGGAATTACTGCATTGTAATTCCTTGAAAACTCTGGAATGCATTACATTAAATTCTCTTATATGTCACGTGGTTCAAACCAAACTTGTAATCCAAGTTTGGAGGCCTGAAAGGTTTCTTAAAATTCAATTAAAATGATACAAAAAGGCCCACATTAGGATACGCTCCATTTAGAGACTTATGCATTTGGCAGGAAGACTTTCTTTTTTAATCTTAAAATAGAGTTCAGGAAATGCTGGCTTCATTTTCTCTCTGCTTCAGTATTTTATGAGAGCTTTCCAGCGCAGTTGCTAGAAGCCTCTGATTATTGACAATGTCAGATGATGTGGATGATTTTATTTGCATGAATTCTACATGTTGGAATTTTTTCCTTGTATGCCTAGAAAAAACTTATAGTGTAGAAAAGCAGAGTCCATTTCTTTCTAAAAACAAATGTACACTGAGACCCTAATATGGGTAAAAATGTCCCCCAACATTTAGTGATGCTGCAAGGAATATTCCTCATAATCACTGCAGAACTCCCCATTCACAGGATGGACTTTTACTAACAGAACGACAGAAACATTTTCAAACAGAAGACACCCAAGTGCTTACGGAGCCAAGGAAGTAAAGCAAATCTATTGCCTTATTAATGAAAGCAACCTCAAATTTCTTTAGACTTTACTTGTGTCTCCATATCATCACAAGCCTACTTCTATGAGTTGCTGATGCCTCAGAAAAATACACGGGCCAAACACATGTACTTTTTCAGGCCCAAGTAATATAAACAAAAATATGCCACCTTGGTGTTAGTCCTTCCAGGATGCTATCACTTCAAAAACCAAAGTCTAGGGCCTCCCTGGTGGTATAGGGTATAAGTCTCAGCACTATCACCGTGGTGGCCTAAGTTTGAATCCCAGCCTGGGAGCTGACCCACAGGGCTCAGCAGACCTCTCCTGTCTTGCCCGCTGCTCCCCTCAGCAGTGTATTTCAGTAGATTCGCCTGTTCTGCTCCCCACTCTGTCTCACTGCCCCCCATACCTCGGGCCTACATCCCAGTTCTTGTATGCCTAAATAAAAAAATAAATCTTAAAAAAAAAATCAATGTCTATGGACCTCCCCTGGTGGCGCAGTGGTTGAGCGCTGGGCTGCGAAGCTGCCCGCAGCCTCTGCAGCACCGGTTTGATCCCCGGCCACCGGAAAGGGTCCCACATGGCGTGCAGACCTCTCCTGCCGTGCCCACTGCTCCCCTCAGCAGTGTATTTCGTCAGTCTGCCTGTTCTGTTCCCTGCTCTAGCTCTGGTGAATTCTCTCATCCTCCCACACTTCTCACTGTACCCAGTGCATGTGTGTATAAATAAATAAATAAATAAATCTTTTTTTTTTTTTTTAAATCAATGTCTATATTATACTTAGGTTAAAAAAACCAAGGAAGTACATATGTTCATAAATATTCAATAACGGAATTATCACCACCACACAGATGCCACATACTGTTATGAGCTTCTTTTCACTCTAACGAAAGTGGCATGTTTTAGACCAAACTGCTATGTCAGTATGTTACTTACTTAAACGCTTATAAGCACATTTTGTGGAATGGCTGTAAATAAATGTGCTCTGGTGAGCTGGGTGTCGTTTATATGCTTGTATTTCCGTAACTAGATGTAAAACACACGACATCGTTCACGCTCAGGCCCTCCTAGGGACAGTGTGGACCGCTGACCACTGGCTTGTTTAGACAAGGGTGCAGAGCTCATAATTGAAGCGATTCACTTTCGTCACAGAAAGGACTAGAGCATGACAACATGTGCCCCCAGCGCGGAGACAGTGTGTGAGTAATGAAGAGCTCCTCTGTGACACTGCCCAAGCCATCCCAGAACCCGACCACCGGGGTTAAACATCAAGTCAGGAGAAGCTAAACATGCAACATCACAGTGTTTTAACAAGCCACATGCACGTGGCCTGTTCATTCATTAACAGAACATTTTTGATGAAGGGAAAAACACCACCCGACATGTTTACATTTGGGAAAACACCCCCATCCCCTCCCCCTGTTCCAATCATCCCAAAAATTCTGTCCCCAACCAAAATAGGGGCTGGGGAATGGTCTTGGTTTCTAAAATTTGATAGCCACATCAATTTCTGAAGAATTTGTTCTAGAAGCGTGATGCATCCACGCATCATCGCCTGTGCGGCCCCTCATGGGGGTGTTTTTGGCGACTGCCGCACAAACCTGTCGGCATCTGTCTGCCCTGGTCACTGCCTCTACACCCTTGGCCTTGACGTGCTCCCGTGCTTACAGATGCATGGGCCGTCGCGCTGCACACCTGCAGGGAGGCGCATGCCCCGGCGCTGCCTCTGGTCCCCGGGTGACATCTGGAAGCAGGGACTCACTTGGGGACATCAACTGCCCTCACAATGTCACGAAACAGCAAAGCCAAATCCCAGATGCGGCCTGTGAACCCCCATCACACGGTCAACCACGAGGCCTGCACACACACCCGCTCATCAGTGCTACGGGGAGGGGATGGGGCCCCTTGGTCAAGGGGAGGGGTGCGCTGGGGGTGATTCGTTTTGTTTGCTCCACAACCCCAGGTGTTTTCTCCGAGAGGAAGGACTCAATATATATTTACCAAAAGCCCTTAATTTATACTTCCTTGTCTTTTAATTGGCATCTCGTGAGCTAAAATGAGTGGGCGAGCAAAGCGTCTCACTGCCGTAGCAAACTTTCTCAGCTGGGTTTTCAGTCACCAGCCCCAGCATCGCCTGAAGCGCGATAGACGTCTGGAGACGTGGCTTATTTCTGCTCTGGCCGCTACCCGCATTTAGAGAGAGACTTTTTAATTTGATGAAGAGTTACGTGAGTCATCGCTCCTCGAGCCCCAGGGACGGCAACAACCGTTTCATGCGGAAAGTGCAGTTCAAACGGCCCTGCCTGCAGGAGCCCCCACGGGCAGGAATCCCCGCAAAGCCAAGACGCGCCGCTCACTTGCGAGCTGGGGTTCACTTCCACAGGGAATAAAGGGTCACAGGTCCTCGCGAACCCCACACTGGCTACAGGCCTTCCTCCTTCTCGCCTTTTGTTTGTGCAGTGACTGAACTCAGGGACGGCGGCAGGGGGATCGCTTCTCCCCGAGGACTAGGAAAAGAAATGCCCCCCACCTGCCCAGAGCCTGATTTTATCAGTCATTCCTTCTTGTTCTCGCTCTCTCTCAACTGCAAGGACTGAACATGATCCAGATTTTTCAAATTCGCTCTCACCTTGACAACGCTAACGTTACAAGCAGCGCTCAGCTTTTACAAGATACCCTTGTTGTGTAACGTATATAGGCTGCCAAAGAACGTGCTACAACTAATCAGATAACCAAGGTGAAGAGAAAACCTTCACCTGCCATGCAGCTAGCTGCAAATACACGTTTCATTCTTTTATTTCCATGACATTTGCTGGCAGAAAGGGGTTGGCTTGAGGCGGATCGGACTAACCTTCAATTTGTCATAGCGCTCACTCAAAGCCGCCACCTGGTGGTCTCGGTGCCGCCCAACCAGCTTACACAAGGCACAGATTAACTGGTCATCGGTCACGCAGTACATATTCACCTTCTCGTCTTCATGCTCCAGGCACATCAGCCCCCGGATGTGCGAGTCGGGAATGGGCTCGATCAGACGATGACCCGTGAAGGGCTTCTTGTTCGGGTGAGTGGCTTTCAGGCACTCATCACAGTAGGACACCTCGCAGGTGACACAGGTCTTCACCGCGTCCTGGGCCGGGTCCTGGTCACAGAACTGGCAGAGAACTTTCTCGGCGGAGGTCATGGTGTTGGCGTCGAACGCCCGCTCTCTGCGGGTCTCGCTGGGGGAATTGGGCCCGCTCACGGAGGCTTTCTGGAACCTGTCGATGATGTTCTGCAGGGTGACGTTGCGCTTGAGCCCGTCTAGACCGCGCTGGCTGAGCGTGATGACATGGCGGCAGGTGGGGCACTGGAAGGCGGTGATGGACTCCACGGACTCGTTGGTGGCGCAGTGCGAGACCAGGATGCGGTGGGCGCAGTTGAAGCAGAGGCTGTGCGCACAGGGCAGCAGGAGAGGGTCTTCAAAGAGCTCCAGACAAATAGGGCAGGTCAGCTCCGACTCCAGTGTTTCCATCTTCAGGCAAAGCTCTCCTGTGTCATCAGCAAAATCCAAGGAAGCTGATCAGCTATCTGGAGAGAGAACAGAAGACCTGGTTAGGCACGAGGGCTCCGCCACGGGGGGCTGCCAGTCGGGCAGCATCTCAGAACACTTCCCGACACAGGGCACGGACGGGCACACGTGTGTAAACTGCAAATAATTCTTTTTCTATTCTCTGCAGAAAGAAGGAGGGGAGAGACACCAAGAGCACCTTCTCAAAGTTCCAGGCCCGAAAAGCTGCCATTCTGGTTTGGGGCCCTGTTGCTGTTTACAAGGTCTTCCTCCAAACCAGCAAGTTCTGAAACAGTCATTTCTGTAATTTGTTCCTCATCACAATAATCTCATTGTGTCCCAGCCAAGTCCTACCTTGCGTTGAAAATTAAAAAGTAGAAACATTAATTAATGAACGGTAGAGTCTTTCGTGACTTGGAGTTACGAAGTTCCATGTGAATGGAGGTGAACGTGTTTTAGGGACTTTTTACTCTGCTGTCCCAAACCAGGCTCGGGAGGAGAAGAGAGGCACTTGCTGTAGACACGGGCAAGAGGGGCGTGTGACATGGAGCTCGTGATCTCGGGAAGTGGGAAGGCTCATATATGGGACGGCAGCTTCCAAAACATCTCTCTGAGACAAAAGCACTGACTTCTGCAAAGATGCGTGTGATCGAGGTGACGTGGCAGGGCCGGGTGTGTGGCTCTTCTAAACCCACGCTATTGCTGAACCCGGAAGTGGGGCATGGACGGGCAGAGGGAAGCAGACAAAAACAATCTGGGGGCCGCTGCACCAATGGCTAGCAGTGGCTTGCTTCCTTAGAACGAGGACTTCAGGGACCACAGTGTCCGGTGCATAAGCCGTAGCAGTGGTACCGATTACACTTCAGAAAGCACTTTAAAGTAGTTGCTGAGGGTCCCCGCACGGTCCTTCTGGCTTAGAAACTCCCACCAAAGGGCCGTCTCGGTCGCCAGCTCTGGCCAGGCTGGCAGGTGGTCCAGCCTTACACTCAGCGAGGGCACGACCCCCCGCCAGCTTTGTTGCTCCCCTGCAGGCTGCCTTCGGGTGGCCCAGCTGCACCCCCCCTTGTCCTGAACACTGGCTGCTTTTGTGAACTCTGGCAGGCCTGCCCTTGGTGGGGGAGGGGAAGGAGGCCGTGCAAACCCGGTTTGTTAAGGGAGAAGAGACCTGCTCATTAGCAGGCCTGGGAACCGGGCGGCTTTGAACGTCCTCCTTTTCAGGCCATTAGAAGAGGCTTGCGAACAGCCCTCTGCGGGCTGGGGAGGACCGAGCTGTCCGCCAGCGGACTTGACGTTCAAATTGCCCTCCGGGGCGTTTTCCCAGCCGGGTTTACGGCTGGCTTCAGAGCCAAAGCTATGGCGAGTGATCCTGAAAACCTGCCGTTTTGTAGTCACACCTCCATTTATCCATTTGTTTCCCAAATTCAATTCTAGAAGCCCCCAGCCCTTTCTGAAATAGCATCCCGCAGCAACACCTCGTAGGACCCTGGTTAAAGCAATGCTCATCTGGTTATCAACGGAACGGTAACTGATCCTTACAAGTATAAAGTATATGCCGAGCTTGTTAAAAATTAAAGAGCTACTAGCTTCACAGAAGCCCGATATCTTACAAAAATCTTTAGCCGATCGGTAACTACAAAAGGAAGGCTAAACAGTGGCTGAGATCCAGAATATTCCGCCTTACTCGTCTCTCCAACACGAACCCCAGAAATTTACTGTCCCCACTTGGTCCCAGCCAACCTCTTGGTACAGAATGGAAAGGTTAATCATTATTTCAGCTAATCATGGAAAAAATAGAAATTATCTCTAAATCAAATGTCTTCTCTTCCCATTAGAAGAATGTCAATTACAGAAAAAATGTGGCCCTTTCGGTCCGCTTTGTTCTCAGTAAAGCAAGGAGGCCACTGAGCGGGGAGCTCAGCAGAGCGAGGAGCACTGCTGATGTCTGGATTTAATGCGGGTGCCGGGCGTCCACCCCAGAGTGGCACAGTGGAATTTCTGGAGGTGATCCCATGGCCGACCCCAATGGAAATGCTGGCGTTTTATGCCAGAGACATCTGCAGAATACCAGGCACAGAGCTGGCTCGACCAGCTGGGCTCGGCAGCCTCAAACCCGCCGCCCATCAGGGCGGGGCCGGCGCCACCTTTCACCTGGGTGATCACAGCTGCTTCCTAAACAATCGCCTGGCTTCTGCTCCCTCCACCCTGCCCCCCATAATCTTTCCTGCACTCAGAAGCTGGGGATCCAGTGGGAGCCTGACAGAGCTTGCCGCTCCTCTGCTCTACCCTCCAGGGGCTTCCCATCTCCCTCAGACAGACGCGCCAGAATAGAGCCAGCCCCAGATGCAGCCTCAGGCAGTGACCTCAGTTCCGCCCACACCACCTCTCCTTCTGCTCTGGGCGCACGCCTCCTTGGGATTCCTCAAGCCCACTGCACCCTCGAGAGATCCAGCACCAACATGTCCTGCTTGGACGTTCACTGCCACCTCTCCCCACTGCCCGGCACCAAAATACAAGCTCTATGAGAGCGGACACGGCCCAGCTCTTTGAACGGCGGGTCCCTGCCCCGGCCCAGTCCCTGCACAGCGGGCCCCAAACGTTCCTTGATTAGAATTAATAAGGGTACCAAAGTGGGGTTGAAACCAAAGTGGATAAAACAGACCCACTGCCTCCAAGGGTTTCTCAACCCATTAGACAGAGACCATCAAGTGTTTACTATAAAAGGCAAGAGGGGGCCTCCCTGGTGGCCCAGGGGTTAGGCTCAGCACCATGAAGCTGTCTGCAGCCGCTGTGGCCTGAGTTTGATCCCCAGCCAGGGAGGTGACCACATGGTGCAGCAGACCTCTCCTGCCTCCCCGCTGCTCCCCTCAGCAGTGGATTTCAATAGATCTGCCTGTTCTGCTCCCCACTCTGTCTCTGGGGAGTCCTCGCACCTCTGGCCTGCACCCCAGCTCTTATATGCATAGATAAATAAAATAAATATTCCCCCAAAAGGGCAAGAGAGACATTTGGCATTGCAGCCACAAGGCCTCTGCTGCAGCCGCACCCCCAGGTTGTAGGCACAGGCACGAATGAGCGGGGTGTCCATTCCCACCGCCACCGCGGGGGCGAAGCAGGCAGAGGCGGGAGCTGGGCTGCGGCTCTTCCTTTGTGCAAAGGCAGAGACACGGCGCGCTGGCCAGAGTCGGGATGGAAATCAGCCTCCGAGGCTGAGTGCAAGGATGCACAGGCAGCAACGATGGTGGGAGAGGCCTGGGCAAGCACGAACAAGCTCGGGGTGCGAAGGGGAAGTGCCACGCGTGGGATTTCACCCTGACATCAATGGGTGTCACGTCCCAGCGCTCGGGGCGGCTTGTGTAAGAGGGACATCACGGCAGCTGCTCAGAACTGGCTCTTCCACTGCCACAGCGCCCGCGTGCAGCTCTGCCCAGTGTCTGCGCTGCAAAGGTTGGGCCATCCTATAAGCGATGGTAAAATACCCAGATGCAAAGCGGGGTTCAGCCAACTTACTGAATCTTTGGCCTGTAGATGGCCAAACAGGAAGGGAGGCTGATATGATAAAGTGGGCCCCGCTTTTTCCTACTTTATCCAGGTTTTGCCCTGCTAGAGATACCATATTTTGTTAAATCACTCAACAATATCTTCCTAGCCAGCACGCATACCATTTCCCTGCCAACAAAAATTAGCATAGTGCATTTTCTAGACTTCTTTAAATATTTTTTGAGAAACGAAAATGCCATTCATTCTTTTCACCAAATATTGACGACCCCCTAGATGTTTTGTCCCAGGAGGAGTAAGAAAAACACCTGGTCCCTGCCTTGTGGTCCATCAGGAGAGAGAAAATATCAGCAAATTGTTATGTAACATGACAAAAGACAAGTGCCAAAGACTGAGAGAACTTTCTGGAAGGAGGCAGTGTGTGAAGTGGGTTCTAGAAGATGAACAAAGATTCACCTAGCCGGCAGATGGGAGTGGGATTCTCTGCAAAATGTTATCTTTCTCTTCTTTCTTTACCCCTCCCCTGCTATCTTTTTCATTTCTTAATTAACGCCCATCATTTAATTTCCAAGTCTCAAAAAAAAAAAAAAAAATAAAAGAGAGAGTCTAAGGCCTCACTACAATGGAAGGAAGTCACACGTGTATCATTGTCAGGAAATTCTATAGCTCAACATTTTTCTGAATGGGCTGATTGGTCCTCATTCACAGGAGGATGTGGCTAACCATGGGAACTTCTTGCAACACTGAGAATGGGGGATGGTGACAATTCACAGCTCACACCTCTGAGTAGCCACTTCTGTGGCCTAGGAGGGGGTACGAAAGTGAGGGAGAGGACGTTAGACGGGCGGTCGCGAGATGTAGGTGACCCCCAGCTCGGCTGCTTATTAGCGGCAGCCCCTGGGTGCACATCCATCCACGTGCCCTCTAACACCTGCTGGCACTCACGCTCCATGTGCCTGGGTAGGACGGTCTTTTGCCACAGGCCGCAGTTAGGCCCCGCATCCTGGGATGCACGGGTTCTGGACATCTTCTCAGGACTACTGAGGAAAGCATGTCCTTAAAATGGAAAGTTCAGGGCCTCCCTGGTGGTGCAAGGGGTTGAGCACAGCACTGTGAGGCTACCCACAGCCACTGCAGCACAAGTTCGATCCCCAGCCAGGGAGCTACGCACATGGCGCAGCAGACCTCTCCTGTCTCGCCCGCTGCTCCCCTCAGCAGTGGATTTCAGTGGATCCGCCTGTTCTGCTCCCCACTCTGTCTCTGGTGAATCCTCTCACCCCCCACACCTCTGGCCTGTACCCCAGCTCTTGTATGCATAAATAAATAAATCTTTTTAAAAAAATAAAATGGAAAGTTCATATACGGGCATTTTGGTGGAAACTGATGATGGGAACACTGTCACACCTCTCCCTTTTTCCTTTCCTGCCCTCTCTCACTCCGAGTATCATTGAAATTGCACTTTCCTGCCACCGCTGACTTCTCCCAGCTCGTCAAGGCCTAGGTGTTTTCCACACCTTCCATCAAA